AATCGGAATTATTTTAATAAGTCGATAATTTATTCATTTACGTTAAATATTGATAGTATTTTTAAAAAGTAACCCACATAGTTAGACTTAAATATTGAAGATATATAAAATATTCTACTCCTGTAATTTGTCGAATGAAGTACCCAAAGTAAAATAATTCTGAATAAATGTGAAAATGGAAAGTACTCACGGAAACAGATGAGTTGTTTTTATACTCATCAATCATCAAGTGGAGTAGTGATTAAAGTACTCGATACTGGATCCCCAGGAGTAGTTAAGTAACTTACTTTGTAATTTGCACGTTATGCTCAGAGTACTTTTTGTCCATCTCTACTTGAATAGAAAATGTTGAACATTTTAAAAATATAAAGCTTTTCTTCAGTTTAGCCTATTTAAATTTAAATTCTCCTTTCCTAAAAATGTTTTATTCACTCTTCCAAATTTACTTGAGGAAGATCTGAGGATTGAATCATATTGCTCTTTTATGTTTTAAAAACTTTTTATTTTAAGTCATTTAAAAATTGTGCTTAAAATTTTGAATATATATATATATATATATATATATATATATATATATATATATATATATATATATATATATATATATATATATATACCTGCACATATAAAGATATGTGTGTATATTTAAATAAAAGTGCAATGAGAAAATTTATCTTCATTATATTCTAATATTTTAACAATCACAGTAGAAAACATGCAAATTATGTAAAAATACAAACATATATATTATGTAAATACATATTATGTATATGTAAAATGTGAACTATGGAAATAGAAATAAATATATATATATATATATGATTTATAACACATAAAAAAGAGAGTATTGCCAGTAGCAGATTCAGAATAATTTTGAAAGAGATTATCTTTTTATTCTCCTTAATAATAGTAATTAAAGGAATAATAATGCTTTCAGGAATAAACTTCTTGTATTTTTCTTGACAATGCTTACATTTAGTAGCTAAATTAATAATTTGTTGTAATTTAAAAAGTGAACATAAATTAACATAGTCACAAAATTATTGTGATTCTGCTAGTATTTGACCCAGATCACTGATAGAAACAAATAATAGACCTATGAAAAAATATTATTTTTCCATTTTGGAGATGATATAGTTGAATCCGTCAGTGTTGCTAAGTTCCTAAAAGAGGTGGTAGTACTAAATTAAACTTTTTATAAAAACATTCATCTTGATATATGCTGAAAACCATCAACATTACATCAAGCGACTATATAATAAAGTAACTTTTCGTTTATTTTATATAATTAAGTAACTGTAATTCACTCTTTGTATTCTATTTCTCCTATTCCTTAAACTTATAATGAAAAAAGTAAAACACATTTTAGCAATGAATATAATACAAGCAACTGGCGGATCTACGAGTGGAGGGGGGCTTTCAGGCCGAGGCCACTCCAGAAAGGAAAAATTATTTTTTCTTCACAGAGGAATGTACCAACATGTGAGCATGTAGTTAAGATGAGTGGCACTAGAGCTAACAGGGAAATGGCCAGGTAGTGTTGCTGCTTGTCATCAACTTATCTCAATTCTCTCAAATCCTCGTACTCATGCTAATTTCAAAAGTCATTGTATGATGCAATCTATGCAAAAAATCTTTATGGGGACACACATTTTTACTGGGTTTTGAATTTTTCGGAGGTAACAATATTTTTATGGAATTTAAATTTGACTAGCTTTAGGGTTTCAAACCAGAGAAAATAAAAACAGTTAGCGTAATTGTAAATGATTATACTTCCACTAACACTGTTTTTAAGAAGAGGAGAACAATAAAATTTCTTGGGAGGGGAGATGAGTCATTTATAGACATAAAATTTACTTTATTTTAGAGTAAATTAGGGATTCTTTTAAAATTTATATTCATTCACCTTGACATGTCAAAAATAAATCATGGACATGATTAAATTATTTTATAGTAATTGTCATTGGTTTATATTCATAATATAGTATTCTTAAAGTTTATTAATTCATTTAAAAATTGTTTTATCTGGAAATGTGGTAAGAAATGAAAGATATGTGATCCACTCACCGCACCAGATTTTCATTTTAACTAAGAAAAAAATATAATATCTAAGTAAGAGTCTGAATTCATTTTTCAATATTTAAAAACTACAACAGTTTTAGCCCACTTGTTAATATGCAAGAGTTTGGGCAATTCTTTCTTTATATTGCCAGATCAGTAGTGAATCTGTTTTCAACTCACTAGTCTTAGTGAGTTTTCCCCAGTGTTCCTAAAACCATTGAAATTTCAGACATATATTTGTTTAAGATAAATATCTTCTTCTTAAAGTGATATAGCTAAAAAAGGTTGTTATAATTCTTAAAAAGCTCAAAATTTTATAACATTTTTTTCTAAACCCAACAGAAAGCGAATTATCAAACTTTCAAAATGGTCTAATTTTTTAACATTTGCAAAAACATGTATCCTTTTTATATTTTAGTTAATTATCTGTTTCCTAGTTGAGTTAGCTTAAATACACTTTTATTCAATATTAAAGTACACAAGTTTTTATTGACAATAGAATAACAACTTAAATACAAAGCTATAAAAATCACTTAATGTTTTGAAGTGTGGGAGAAATCCTTATATTCTAGTTATTATAATGAAATTTTATTATTATGACATTTTTGAGCTAATTGGAAATTAGCTTCATTTTAACACTATTTTATAATTTATTATTATTTGAATTGTATAATTCTGTGTTCTATGCATTGTTTTCATCTCGAGGCTAGCTGTTGCATTTCCACAAAATAGTATTCTTTGAGTTTTGAATGGAGTAATTCAGCAACTCTATTTTAAACTTTATCCAAAGAATTTGTGATTTTTCCTTAAAGATAATGAGCCATTCACTGGAACAGATGGTAATCCGAAAGTGTTCTGAATAGAATGTTAGTAGGATGAAGGAGAAACTTAATCCAATCCAATTCTGATTACGTGTAATGTCAGTTCGATTGTAACATCTGACCAAATTCCCATAAAACGCTAATCAGAGTGCCCAACAGCAAAATCTTGACACAAGGTATTAAAAAATACAGGTGTGCACTTTTTGGTTAAAACAAATGACCAGCCACCCATGAAAAATGAGAGCATTTGCCTGCTACGATTACACATAAATTCTAGTCATCCAAATGTTATGCTTTATAAATAATCTTATCAGGGTCATCGTTTGGTAATACTGAACCTATAAATTTTCTACGGGTTCATTTTTATCAAGTTTTGCTATGAAGCTCTGGATTCGATTAAACTGCTCATCATACACAGCCATGAGAACTGTTGTACTTTCTATATCATTTTGTTCCTCCTGATTGAGCTGCATTTAATCCAAAACCAAGCTATTCAGAACAAGGTTAGCCAAAACATAGAATAGGTCTGCCCAGCTCCCACTCCAGTGTTTCAACTGCCTCCCTCAGTGCCACATCCCACGCCCTGATGAAGACCTGCAAGGTGGGTCGAAACGTCATGGTAATTAAATAATACTACTTCTTTAATTTAGTATTTACTTGACCGCACCCCCCCCCGATCAACTCCTCAGAATTTTTTTACACTTCTCTCTCTTATTGTTAGGTTAAAAAAAAAAGTCTACAAATGTAGACAATTTTGTAAACTTAAATGAACATACTTTTGCTGGATTCCTTATGTAAACAGATCATACAGCCAAAACTTGCCTATATTTATTAAAATATTTGTTTTCAGTTTTTTTTTTTAATATAACTATTTAGAAAACCTGGTAGCTCTGTTCGTGTAGAGTTTAGAAAATAAAAAAAATGTATTCTACAAAAATGTGGAACAATTTTGAGCTGTTAAAGACTGAATATAAGCTTATTTCATCTATACTGCTTTTAAAATGAAATATTAATCTTAATCCAAAAATGTCTGAAATTTCTAGTGTTTTTAGGAGCTGTGCAACGAATCATCTAACAGTGTCTATATATATATATATATATATATATATATATATATATATATATATATATATAAATTGGAGTATACAAACTTTTGCAGGCTAGGCCTCTATTTTTTCAGCTTGTTCTTTTAGAAAAGAGTGTTTAAAATATTCTTCCAAACATAAATCCTCATTTTCACTAACCTTTATTTAAATTGGAATAATGAAAGTATAATTTTTCATATACCCATAAAATTATAAATGATAGGCAATTTAGTTCTGAATTAAATTTTATAAAAGCTATTTTACTTTGCCTAAAACATCAAATATATGGTTATATGTACAAACAGGGTGCCCTAGTAATTAAGGGAAGGATAGTTTGCTAAAAATTTAATTCAGTACCACCCCCTGCACCTTCCTATACCAAACGTTTGTTGAGATATTTAAAGATTTTTTCAAGAAAATCAAGGTCTCCATAAATATTCAAATTATTCTAAATGAACTATTATTCAAATTATTCCACATGAACAATCTCAGTGCTCAAACCACGCCCTGAAGATGACCCACATGTTTGGGTTGAAACGTTGGCAAAAATAAAAAAAATTTAAAAAAAAGACTACGTCCTGAATATTTATCACCCATGATATGTAGAACAGTCGACTAACTTCCTTCAAGAATTCATCAAATTATTCTAGTATAACTGAACTAATTATAAGATAATGTTCCTGTAATATAACAAGAAATGTGTAGGAACAAAGATTTGTTAGGCAATAATAGCAGCCAAAGCCAAGTAAAATCGAACAATTTTCAGTAATATTTAAACTAAGAATTTTCAAGCTACATAATTTGGGATTTCAAAAAGTTTCTTCATTTCATCAGTTTTCAAAAGGGGTAACAAATTTAGCAAAAGCTAGTTCTATTTTGATAAGATATTGATATTGGGAAATCAAATAACATTTGATACCCACAACCTCCAACTCATAACCTTAATATCTTTGAAATGAGAATAGCTTAACAAAGTTGAATATACTGTTAGAAAGCTGATGAAGAAACTTAATCAAAATTCATATAATCGTAGCTCGGTAATTCATTTTTATTTGTTTATTATACTTTGCATGTTATGGTAGTCTCACAAAGTGAAATTTCCTAACAAATTGGTGACTAACTTAAAAAAAAAATTGTTGTATATTCTGAGACAGGCACCAAGAAAAATTATAACAATAACATTTTCCACCAGCACAACTGGCTAGTAAATAAATAATCAATTAAGGGATGGAAATATATAATATAACAAAATTATTTATTTTAAGAAACCAGATGTATAAAAAAAAGTGATAGCACTATGACATACCTTAAATATAAAAAAAAGAAAAAAAAAAAGAGAACAAAAGCAATCTATAAATATGATGTCACATGTATGTACACAATTTATTGTAGATTACATACTTAAAAATATTTCAATCATTTAACAAAAAAAAGTATAATATTACCCTGAATATGGACGGATTCATATATTTCTTAGAAAAAATAAATATTACTTTCTTATTTACAAACTCTTGTCAATAAAATAATTTTTCACAGCTTTATTAATTGGCATTAGAAATATACATTATGTATTGTGCTGGTATATTGTACTGCAGCATACACTTTTTAACAACAGTAACAATTTTAAAAGATAAATAAAGTTTCTAATTAAAGGCCATTTTCAGATGAAAAAAAAATGTGGTCCATAATTTATTTTTAATTTTACTAAAAAATAATTTAAAACAATAATGTTTGAAGATACAATAAATATGTGATAAATACATAATACATTAACAAGTAATGTTAAAAATATTGCACAATAAATTTACATGTGCACTTAATATTATTACCAGTTGTTAATTCTTAAACCTTATAGAACAAAGCTTAGGATTCAGATCATTGAAACAAAAATTAATTTGTAAGGGTGCACATAATATATTTTGATTCATATAAAAATAATTAATTTTGCTTGGTATCTTACATGCAATATAAAAAAAACCTAACCAAATTGCCATATCCTAAATATAAAAATTAAATTTTATAACAGAGAATGCAAATGAAAATAATGCATCATTAATTAATAAAATTTATATAAACTACAAAACGTAATAACATCACATACTTTTTAAGAAAAGCTTTACAGAAACAATAAATTAATAAAAAATAAGAAACAACCAAAGGACGGATACAAATGAATAAAATATTGCAACAAATTTCAATATATTTTTTTTAATTAGTCAAAAAGAATTTAGTATAGTAGCAATCATTGGAAGTCGATATTCTGAGAGAATGGTAAGGAATTAACAAAAATCTTTCCGATTGTAAATCTTAAATAATTATTATGGAACGATTTCACTTCTTGAATTAATAGATTAAAGACTAGCATTGCTAGAGATAATCTAAACCACAAATGGATCATAATCAATGATTCATAAAATATTTATAATAATAGGTTATAGTTCTGAAGTGTTCCAGTGGTCTGTAATTACTAATAAGTAATTCCTCAAAACCTATAATACAGTTTTTGAGACTGGACCACTACTTTATCATTCAAAAAGCTACTTAAAATTGTCTGGAGGGTGAGTAACTAGATTAGATCAAAGGCTAAAAATGGGTAAGATCCCATTTCAGGTCTAATCTCTTATATTGAGATAGAGTAAAGTAAGCTAAACTGTGTAAGTGGCAGAAATCAAAAGAAACAATGGGAGGAAACCAAAAAAAAATTTTTTTATCAACACAATGTTGTAAGGTAACTGAGACTAAAGGGTAACAGAAATATTAACTAAAATGGAAATCCATTCGTACAATTTGGTGAGAATTTCATACATCAACATTTTATCACATCCATTTAAATCATAAAGTAGTCCTACAATAAAGTCTATTGGTAAGAGTATCTAACAAGTAATACTTGAAAAGCTGAACAGAGAAAGTCAAAAATAATCAATTCAAACTAATAATCGAATTACAAAATAATCAAATAAAACATATTCATGCCCATGTAGTTTATATTGACTACGAATTTTTTTTACTGTTCATTTATAATTAACTGGTTCACATAATTTACTTTTGTTTTATTAAGGATAATTATGAAATGTCATGAAAATAAATAAACGATTCTAGGACTGAAGATGTACTGATTTTGACAAAATAATAACGATAAAAAATGATTGCAGACACATACTGTATACATATATTTTACAAAAATCTACACTATGACATTATATTATTTTGTTATACTTATTATCTATATTTATAAAATACTATAAGTGTGGTAAAAAATATTTGTTTCTCTTGGCCTTTACAAGAAAGTGATGAATCATCATTATTATCAAACAATGTTTTTTGATACAAAATATTAATATACCCAGTTAACTGGAACCCACTGATGTTCATTGCTAATTTTATTAAGTGCTTCATGAACCTGAAGAAAGGTTTGGTCAAAGTCTTCATTCACAATAACTAAGTCAATATACTTGTCAAATGCTCTCTGTAACATTGCACTCTCTTCGACTGTTCTTTTGATATCATCTTCCTGAAAACATTGAATAAAATTAATAATATAAGTGATACATGGTTAATCAGCAAACATATTTACAACTAGTAGTTTTTCCGATGGTCTAGTTATGCTAGAAAAACTTAAACACAATTCCAGAGAAATACTGGTTTCATTTTTAATTAATTTGCTTCTACTTTTAAAATATACTTTTTTTTGTTTTTACTTTTACTTACCCAAATATATATTTCATGTAGCTATGTGTGTGAACAGCCTAGCTCCGAGATATATGGATGTTACTAGAATGTTATAACTTTTTCTCTAAAATCAACTAACCGGAAATGTCACTTTATATCATGAATTTTACAAATTTTAACAATTTTCTTGAAAACGACTCAAACGATTTTGATTAAACTTGTTATATCAATGTATAATTAAATGATCTTTAATATCAGCTATTATTATAATATCAATCCTCATTGATGTTGACTGACAGAGCTTCAATGTCAATTTTTTCTGTTATTTTGAAACTAGAACTTTTTCCCATGGAAATTTTCAATTAAAGTTTTACAAAACTTTTAAGAAAATCTTATTTAAAAATTCTTTCAAAGCAATTCATTTTGCCAAAAAATAAATTTGAAAAATGGTAATTGTGCATTAGATTCTTAATACGAGAATCAGGCGATTCGTTCAAGATAATTATATCCATAATATGAGCCAAATTAAGTAAATAAATAAATAAAACTTTCACACAAAATGCAGAACTTTATTACAGAACATGTACATATATGTGTGTAGGAAAATAGCTTTTATATAATAAATTAATTATAATTACTGAAAGAAAAACTTTATTGAAATAATTTCAAAATCAGAAGTTCTGTTGTTTATTTTTTCTAAAACTGTAAGATATATGATAGTCGACTAAAATAGCATAAGATATAATCATAGAGGTATGTCAATAATTTCATAATGAACTAAAATATACCATTTTATTTTCTATTACCACATTGAGCATTTTTCTCAAAACATATATTTCTTTCTTATTAAGTAACTTAAGACTAATAATTTTTAATAATCAAGAAATAAACTATATTACCTCATAAACAGAAGCAAGTGATTCTAGAGTTCTTGCCCTCCTTGAGCTGTACCTGATAGAACTGGCCCGATCAAACTGAACACACAATCACTCACTTATATATAGCATGCCAAATATATATTATTAGAAAAAACAAAACTTATTCCAAATAAAAAAATCTAAATCTTAGTCATTCACTAAGAAACCCATAACAAAAAACTAAGCAATCCAATAATTTGCAACACTATGCTTACCGCAAGACTACGACTTGATACACCAGTTGATCTTCCAAAATCATAGAGTTGTTTCAATAATTCCATACCAGGAGCTGCGATAAATATCACGTACGGCATATATTCTGATGAATTGTGAAGAATTTTTAAGGCCTATGAAAAACAAAGCCCTAAGATAATTTTTGGCAAAGAAATATAATACTGGTGTTTATCTATAAGGAAAATTTGTGATTCATAATCAAAACAAATGAGCATCAAACTTACTGCAGGACTGCAGTCTAATACACACATTTTTCCATCTTTAATAATATTTTGAATTGCCTGAAGGGAAGTACCATAGAGATGACCATTATGTTCACCATACTCCAACATTCTGTGCTCTCGGATCTCTTTTTCAAACTCTTCACGTGATATAAACCAATAGCTTTTACCATTCTCCTCTAGTTCTCTCGGTGGGCGAGAGGTCACTAAAAATAAATGAAATTCAATCAAGTTGTTTTATAAAAAAATATATAATTCATTATATTTAAAACTCAATGACCTTGTTTATTATTACATAATTAACAAAATTTAAATGATAATAACTATTATAATTGTAATGGATTAGCTCCAAAATTTAAAGCTACGGATTCATAACTGCCGAGTTATGAATTATCCAAGTTTCGGTTTGAGTCCGGATGTAGCAGGTAATTTATTTATGATGTTATACGAGCAGTGATAGACCCAGTGAGAAGACCTTTGTGGGGCACACCCAACCTCTATAAAGTAGATGTCTTAATTAGGTTAGGAATAACCATGGTAATTTAGTGTAAATGCTGACCAATATTATTTGTGGGCAGAATTGAACACTGGTCAACAAACAGTATTTTATTGCTAAGTACTGAACCTAATTTCTTCTGTTGGTTTAAATAATACAATTTTTTTTTTTTTAATTTGTGCCTCGTTCAAGTAAATTTAATCAAATTTCATCTTCTACTTTCACACAGGCACGTAATTGTATTTTCTTAGACATGCTAATGGTTAAAAAATGTCTTGTTTGATTTGGCTCAGTAGGGAATTGGTAAAAAATGATGCTATGTCAATTTTACCTAATTCAATCCATTAATTCCTTTTACACATCCACAAACGTATTTCCATTGATTTTATTCAATTTCAAAAACCACATGTTTGATGGGGCTCAAATTTGGAAAGAAGTTAGAGATTGGAGAAAAAATGATCGAGTAGATCTCAATTTTATCAAATAGCATCCACTATTTTAAAATTACTGCCACTAATGGATGAACAGAAATTTTCCTGCATGAACCTGTAGTTTAAAACAGCTCATTTGATTTTGTAAAAATTTTGAAGAAATTTAAAATTGGAAAACAATTAAAATAAATGCACCAAGTTAAGAATATAATGGCGGTGAAATGTAGCAGGAAGTGGACATGCAGAAAGGGAGGATACATTCAGTTGTAAGGTTTTAGACTATTATAAAATTTAATTTAAACTTTATTATGATTATCTGTATTAATTGATCTCTTTGAATTAATAATTGCTGCTTTAAAAAAAAAATTAATATACATTCATAATATTATATTTAAGAAGAAGTTAGTCAAGGGTACAATAAAAAAATGCTATATTAAATATCAGTATTTTTTGACCGCACCTCCGACTAACTTCTTCTGAAATTGAATCTACGGTCAACCATCTTCAGATCATCATTATATTATATATTTATATCAGACTATATAAATGCTAATACATCAGTTAATTAATATGTATTAAATCAAAATGTAAAACAAAATTATCTACAGACTAAATATTAAAAGAAAAAAACAACCTCATACACAGTTATTTAGTACTTTTAGAATCTGTGTACGACGAACAGCGCAAACAGTTGTAGGAAAATGGAACATGAGGACGATATTGACGCAAGTAATGGTCTTTGCAGATGACATCTTTCTCATATCAGAATCTGCAGCAAGCGGTGATCGAATGGGAGGCTGAATTAGCAAGAAAGGGTGTGGTAATTAATGTCGGAAAGAGCAAAGTAATGCAGATTGGACGGGATCAGGAGGTTGTCGAAATTTATTGCAAAGGAGAGGTACTCGAAATGGTGGAGGACTTCACATATCTAGGTGCAGTAATAAACAAGAACGGAAGGGTTGACCATGAAATTTCCAACAGGATTAAAAAGGCCAATGATGTGTATTACAGGTTATGCAACACAGTCATTGGAAAAAGGGAGGTAGAGAGGAATGTAAAAATGCATATTTTTAAAGCGGTATATCTGCCAACCCCTATATATGGGAGTGAAAGTTGGGTCCCACTACCCAAACACCTTAGCAGAGTTGCTGCTAGTGAAATGAAATATCTTTGAAGGGTAGCCGGCAGAACCAGGAGAAACCGGATCAGGAATGAAAAAACAAGAGACGACCTAGGCACTGTCTCACTAAAGAATTCTATAGAAAAGAGGCAGCTGAGATGGTTCGGACATGTATGCCGAATGAATGAAGACCGGAACCCACGAAAATTCATGGAGGCGAGACCTGTAGGAAAGCGTCCAAGAGGAAGACCCAGATAGTCGAGGATGGAGTACATCTCCCAGATCGGGGAGAAAAGAGGTATGAGGATAGGGGATATGAGAGCTCTAGCTCGGGACCGAAATGCTTGGGATGCATGGATCGAGGCATCTCCACGCGTCACAAGGAGGTAGAGAAAGAAGAAGAAGAATCTGTATAATGTCAGTAGGAATAATTGGATACAGTAATAAATTTAAACTTTTTTAGCAATAAGAAAAATATTTTTCGTAGCTATTTGCATCAAAATTCTAACGTCCAGTACAGCATGTAGATTAATCAATACTTACATGGAATCACAGAAGCAAATTTGGCTGGATCACTATTAATGATTCTATGTTTCAATGTTCTTCTACCAACACCATGGCTTCCTACTAATGCAAGCGTTCGTCTTTGGAATGGAGGCAATCTGGTAACTTCCTCATAGAGCATCAACTCAGCCTTGTCAAATTCTGTGTTGGCTTTTGATTGATATATTATCTTTCTTTTCTTTTTTGAAATCTAACAGAATAATTTAAATTATCATTATAAAGCACCATTGAAAGAAAAAAAAAAATCTTTATTCATTATTCATGATTTTCCAATATAATTTTATTTTATTTTTGTATTTCAAAGCATAATGGCCCTAGAATTAACAATTGTATGGACACATATATTTATCAAAATGCTCACAAATTAATTAAAAATGCGAAAGAACCTCTGTTATATATTTTCAATTTAAACTGATACTTATAATTATACTCTTAGGTATGGATAACAAGTCATAGAAGTATAGAATCATACAAAGAAGAGGGGGTAGAAGGGTTGCTATTGTCCCAGTTGTCAGTTTGGAAAGTTGACAAACTAGGTCAAAGCTAGTAAAATCTCCACAAGTGACATTTTAATAATTTTAACAAACTATTATCTTTTGAATTATAGGTAACTTATTACAATATTTAAATGCTTTAAGTCGGAAAATCATTAGGGTTAATCAAAGTCACGAGTTCGCAATAAAGGCAACAAAAAAAAGTCGCATGATTTTTACAATAGTTTTTAAAATTAAAATAAACTAATTGGGCACCATTAACACCATAAAAAAACTTGGTCATGAGCAAATAAAATATATAAGTAATGTTTTATTTTCTGTAGTGAACTTCTAATTATTAATCTCTCAAAATCAATTTTTTAAAATAATATTCCAAGCACTTGGTAGAGGTATGCCACAATGTTCCAGCTCTAGGACCAAAAGAAATAATCTTAATTTTTAAATAGTATAGAATTTAAGTAAAAGTAGCTTAATTATCTTAAAAAGAACATTCTAATTTTAAAAGATTTCCATGAAACTTAGGCGCTAAAACAAATATCAAAAAAACTCTACAGCATATTATTATTTAAGATACAAACAAAAAAATAATAAATTGATTTCGTAATCCAAAATTACGAGACAGGAAGATTCAAGCAATTTACAATATTTTACTAAATAATAAGGGCCAAATATCTGATAAGAGTATTTAATTGAGAATTTGTGAAAAAAAAAAAAATTGCATTTTGTAGGAATATTGTATTTAAAAACAGTTGGTTACCCTGGTTCCACAGATGCTAATTTTATGAACATAGTCAGCCTCAGGTTTAACAAAAGCTTTACGTCTTTCCTCTAATTCTTCAGATGGAATAAGACCAACAAAGCCATTTCCTTCAACTTTTTTGGCCTGCCACCAATTAGGGTCTTTCTGGTTTACAATCTAAAATTAGAAGATTAACTGTGACATTATATGATATACATACAATTAAATACTTCATACTTCTTTTCTATTATTTCAAAATAATAAGTCCAAAATAAATATACCTCAAGAATATCACCGAGCTGGAAAGGTAAACCGAGTTCTTTACACGGCAGCAATGAATCTTCATTGGGATCATAATCAAAAAGAGCCCTCATAAAGGCCTGAAAATATTAGAGAAACATATGATGATGGAAAATCATTTTCATTTTAAAATATTTTATTCATACAAATACTATGGCCTAATTTTTGTATCGAATATGAATTATTGATAATATATAACAAATACAATGTAACCAATTGTACACCAAATAAATTCTGAATAATTTTTTCTGTAAATTAGGATTATGAATAATAACTAATTCAGAGAAGTGAGTAACATAAAATGATGTTATGTTCATGGTTAAAATAAAGACAGGATTAAGAATATGTATAAGAGACAGCTTGTTGAATCATATAAGGTATGAACATATGATTAAAAGTATGAGCTGATTTTCTATGCCTACAAAGATAAGAGGGCGTATAATTAAAATATATAATAAAAAAAATCTAGAATACATAATTTCCACAAGAAATGCAATTAAAAAAAAAATTAAGTAAGAAAGAAGACTGCAAATTAGGACTTCTAAATAAGGCTCACTAAAGTGAATAATTAATTCATAAGGTATGGCCATAACCTATTTGTATTATTGCTACTTGAAAACAAACCCTACATGCTCAACTGAATATCTGCTCTATATCAACTGCGTATGTAGGAATATTTTCAGACAAACGACGATGACAAATGATTCTTTACGAATTATTTTATCCAATAAAGCAATTAGCATAACCATTAGAAGGGAATTATTTAAAAAAGCCATTAATGATTATTGTATTTGATTCTTAAGAATGTCAGTTTGAAATATTATTGTAACAAAGTGATATAGACCTGCTATACAATATAAAAACTGTGATTGTTAATAAAAATATTATTTATAACAATGAGATACCTTATGCATTCTATTCAGTTTGTTGTCATTTTCTTGAGTTGGCATAACTTTGAAACGAACTGAATCATTGGTAGCTGCTACTTCAGCTCTGAGATCATCTGGTGTTGAAACGGCTACATCATTAATTTCAAGTATGATATCTCCTGGTTTTACCAAACCTTGTCTATCAATAGTACTTCCAGCTAGTATGCGAGCCACAACTAAGTTACCTTGACTATCTTGTTCCACTGTCAATCCCTAAAAAATAAGAAAAGTTATTAAAGAAAATAAATAAATTGGGATGTATAATTGAATGAATTAAATATAGAGAGTAAGTTTTTATCTCCCAGTTTTTCAAATTAAAATATTTTAATAACCATTTTTAAAATCATTAACGACCATTTTAACAAGTATCGATTGTTGTTAACTGTTAAAGAATAAAGAATAGAAGCCCATTAATAAAGACAAGTTGTGTTATATTTTTAAACATAGATATAAATCATTAATTTTGAGGAACAGGAAGTTTAAGAAAAAATTTAATAATAAATAAATTGAACAATTCTTGAAACAAAAAAAAGCAACCAAACACAAGCTTTATTATCAGCTAAATTTTTTTCTTCACTGTGGTGCTATTTTACTGCTCATGCAGCATACACTCATTTATTACATTATTAAGGAAACTTTTAAGTTTTGTCAACAGTTATATTTTTTTAAGTAATAAAATTAAAAGTAAAAATAACCAATCTAATTCAGATTGACATTCCAACAGTAAAATGATGAATGCGTAGGAACAAAGATAATAGTATAATGACTAAACAGTCAAGGTTATTGTAACAGACCAAATATAAATTACTAGATTGAACAAAAAGATTGAGAAACTTTTCCCTGACCACTCAAGTAGAGGCACAGACAATGGAGAGATAACTGATCCATTCCTGCGATTAGAGAAGTTTATAACTCTTAACTAATCTTCCTCAATTTTTTCTTTAATTTTCATTTCTTAAATTTTCTTCCTCGCATAATAAAAAAAATATTAATATTATAGATTAATGATTTCATATTTCAAAATTTATATAATCTATTAAACAGAAAAATTAAACACTTTTATTTTTCCTATTTTTATTTATTTCATAGTTGTATTAATGCTCAAAATATTGTTATCATTACTTTTATTTTTTTAAATATTATTTTCATGGATAGGAGAAGGTGAGACAGTTAGTTAAGACGTAAGAAACAGACTCTATAAGCAGGATCGTCATGATGCTTGGAGATGGATCTTCATCCACATCCTCAGGCTATTAAGAAACTTATATCTCTTAATGTCTTCTTCCATTTTTCTCATGCAACACAAACATTTCGGCTTAATAAAGCACCTTGAAAAATACTGTTTCTATATGAATATTTATTTCAAATATATACTTCTTTTATTGATTTTTCATTACTATTCATTTAAATACGTTTTATCTTGCCTTGGTATTTATTTTCAATTTAATAATTTTACTATAATAATTTTTGTGAAATCTAATGATTTCCTATATTTTTCTTTATATTCAGATTGAAATATAAATTGCTCTGAAGGAAAGATTTCCAACTATATTTATTTTTTCTTAATCTCAAATTATTGTAATATTTTTCTATTAATAGATATACTATGAAATCAATAACATCAAACAAAAATATAGGCTTACATAAAAACTTTTAATATTCTAAATACATAGATTTTTAAAAGTTAGGCATTGATCAATTTAGAGTTTTACCTCTTAAAGACCAATCAAACATTTTACAGTAAACAAAGCTATCGAACAGTATTTACATTAGTATTAAATACCCCAAAAATAATAATACATAATTTTATTAATTATTTTTGAAATACAGTCTTAAACGTAAATATAATAAGTAAGAATTAATCCTTTTTTATTTGTTTAAGTATAAATATGTTATTCTTCGAATACTTTGTCCTAGAATAAAGTCATTTTCTTATTCTATTCTATTCTATAATAAATTGAACATTATATAAATTATTTACCAAAGGCTCATTTGGTACTTTTCGCAGGCCTACTACTCTGATTGTTTGAGTTTCCATCGCGTCGTTATGTTCACGTTCTACCAGAGGCAACTGGCTACCCGTGCTTTCCCACACGGACCTACCCCCACCACTTCTCCTTGCCACCGCCACTGTATCGTGTGTTTCAATCAATGACTGAAAAATAAACAAATAATGAGGCAATATGGTAATCATATAGACAAATGGGCAATACACAAAACAATAAAAAGTCACAATATTTAAAACAATCTTAACTAGAGTAATAATAACTAATTTTTTAACTTCATTGCAATTTTAGTGATATAGTTACAGTAACTAAAAGATTCATTAATAAAATATGATTTGTAAATTATATTTAAAACTATTCTACCTTAACATGGGGTTTGCTAAGAATCACTGCTAATTCTCTAGCATGTAGTCGGCTTGATGTCCTACAGGTAGTAGCTATTTCACGGGCTACTTTAACGTTCCCAGTGGAAACAGGTTCTATCACTTTTTCACTATTCTCAAGCTTGTCTTGTGTCTGAAATAAAATAAAAACTCTTCAGATAATTAAAATTTCAAGAAATTAGTAACTAAAAGGGAAATTAATTTTTTATAAAACATAACTTATTACATCAATAAAAAAAAACCAGAGTTTTGCAGGATTGTTCCTGTGAAATTGTGTCAGAATTTGAAGAAAAAAAAAATGTCAACATAACATTCACTGAAATATCAGTATAAACATTTAACTCTATCTTCATTCAAGTAATATTCGAACATCAAAAAATATAAGTATAAATCAGGCAAACTAACTTAATTTAACCTGGTAAATGATTTAGTTAATTAATCGAAGATATAAAACACTGAATAATGGAGACCTTGTTTCAACCAAATTAAATTTTTTGGATTGGAGAAAATTGTAGGTACTAAATCACCATTTTTGAATTGTTCCTGATCAAGTAAGAAAAATCGATATGAGATTAGTTTCATGATTAATTACCAAAAGAAATAAATTAGAAGAAATAATAAAAAAAAATATAACTTAATTGGATTTAATATACAATTATAATTTTGATACAATGAACCATTTCCATTCAATGGGTGGAGTACTGTTATGGAGAGTATGGGTGGATAACATTAATTAACATAAAATAGCTATAAATAATTTTTTTGTAATATCAGACAAAGGAAAATAAACTATCAGATAAGAGAAAAATAATCTAAATCGAAAACAATTGACACATATTTGTCCACATGAAAAAAATTCGTTATTTGTATATTACAGAAAATAATTGATTCTTGTTAATCTAACACCATTTGGGTCAGACTCCTATGGCTATATTTTATTTAAGCCAATAAATATATATCATCTATCTAATTGATTTTTCTTCTTTTAATTCTAAATAAATTAAATTCTAATTTTTACAAAACAGAGATAAAACAGATTTTGTGAAGCATACTCACATACAAAAAAAAAAAAAAGAAACTACATTGATAAGAACACTCCTAGTTAACCATCACAAATAAAGAGTAAGTAAATTCTATTTCAACTTAAAAAATAATAAAAGTTTAAAATTGTAATCATCCAGTTAAATTTAATCTTGTAAATGGTTTAATAGAAATTAAATTGTGTTATTACTTTAATATTCTATTTGATTAATTAGGCATTTTGAAAGTTTAGGAGGGACACCAAATGTCTCTGATTTAATGAATTTTAACAGATTGGTTTTATATTAAATTTAATTTTCCTGTTCCTATTGTATGGACTGTCTATAAACACTTGTATAAAATGGTGTTTAAATTTTCTATATTATTTATTGTTGATAGAGCGTGAATGTGCTCTCTGAACTTTATTATATATGTCCTTATTGGTGACAGATTGCAATATCTCTATATAACTATAATAAATATAGTTAAGTTAAAAAAAAATTTCAAGAAAATTCTATAGATAAAACAACGCATGTATTGCAAATTTTTTTTTTCCTAAAAAGATTTAATTATTTTTATTATAAAATATTAATTTTGGTAAAAATAAAAAAATTGCATACAAATACTAAAAAATCTGCTCATCCCAAAATATTTAAAAATTATTGCAGCATTTAAATAGTAGAAAAAACTTTCTCTTTTAATGTATACATTTATTTGTTCTGGTATCTCATATTACAGTTACAATGAACATGGTCGTTGAATGGAATTTATAAAATAAAAGGAAATATGGAAAAAAAATTAATATCTTTAGCGGAGGGGATATAATAACATTTAAAAGTACTATAGAGGCCACTCCCCCCTCAAACCAACTGTAAACATCCGAATTCCATTGAGAGGTGACGCCCAGTCAACTACCTGGTCAGGACAAAAGGTCCTTTTTACACAATAGATCATAAGCACCGTTTGGCTTTATTTCTACAACTTACTTATATACACAGATGAGGTAGGTAAGCTAAAAGACAACACAACTTGTAGACGAAATGCAGTACTGGTTACAAGTGGACTAGTATAGAAGCGAAGAACTACTGTAGGTATTCTGCTGAACGGCGTTAAATTGATAGGTTCAAGAGTTCACAAGGACAAATGAGTATCACAGAATAACAAATATAAAAGCCTATCTGCCTACATCAGCGTTGCTCGAGGGGCACGTACTAGTCAGGTGACGTCAGGTTATCCCCCACCATCTCCGCGGATAGTCGCGTCGAATGAAATTGGTCACCTTTCATTCGATGCATTGTTTATGTTTTCCGAACGTTTGAAACCAACGCATTTAACGGTTTCACAATTTTTTTAAAATAAAAACTTGTTAAATATTTATATCTATAATGAGTAGATTCATTCATTTAGATGCTAAATATTCATAATATTAATTAATACTTTTCCGAATGATTTACACCCTTGCGTATCATTACACTTTAAATTTCTGAATAAAGTTTTAATAAATAATAACTTTTCATAAAACCTAGGTTTTTGATAGACCTTCATTAGTTTCATTGCCTCAGCTTCATGTTAACACATTATGTTAAGGTGCGTTTAGACATATCACAAACTATGGGACAAATAAATACATAAATGGTTATTACTCTATGCTAGTATTTTTGTTTCTTGTTTTTACATTTTCCATCTGTTGTCAGTATCAATAGAAATTTAAACAATACTGTCCCTTACTATTTATTTCATATATAGGTAAGTGAAAGCAAAAAATAGTTTGGTTTAGCAATAATGTCACTGATAGTTAAATTAGATAATTGTGTATGCCATAGTCTGTGAAATGTTTAAATGCACCTTTATAGGTAAATGATCTGACTAAAGAATTTTTTCAATAATTTTTAAAATCGTATGCTAAGATATCTAGCATAAGCTTTGAGATATAAATATTCAAAATCTATGAAAATTCACCTTTATATTTTATTTCATTAGTTTAGTTAATTTAAAGATTTCTTAACAAGTTATAAATAAACCGATTGCGTATTATTATCGATATACTTTAGGGAATTGACAGTAAAGGCACATCCTAGATTTCACTTGTACTTGGGCAATTGTAGGAAAAATATTAAACTATAAGCTTATATCATCTAAATTCATTACACAGAAAATGTCATCAAATTTTAACTTCATTTATTGCTTATAAATAAAAAGCTTATAAATATTTATTATTGTTAATTAACCGATATGAGGCCCGGTTTGCAACTTGAATACTTAAGTTAGCAGTTGATAGATGGTAAACGATGTAAATTTTGTGGTATACATAAAATAGACAATACACCAAATCGGTCAGTAATTTGCAAGCTTTTTTTTTTTTTTTTTTTTTTAAATAAGAACGGTATTTTTCATGATAGAGATAATTACAATATTATCGAAAACTGATTAGAGGTAAGAAGAAAAGACATGTTCAGGAAAATTAATGAACAGCTCCCACACTAACACTTCCATGTTAATATAATACTGAAGCATTTGACTTTAATTTCCGCAAATTGATATTTGATGTTATATCAACTATAAAAATCGAATTTCTTTTCGATGAAGGTTGAGACCGAGGAATAGTAATGTCCATTGCTTTTATCATAGCTCGTGGATGATTTACATGATATGATGACCTGATTGTACATCGACAGAATACAAAAGCACGAATGTAGACTGGTTAATAATGACAGTTTTCTACATGGGAGAGAGGATGGATTCTCATGGTCAATTAAAGGTTAATGAAAATACGGTTTTTTCGTAAGCAATTCATTTTATTTTTTAGGAATTAAACTGTATTAATTAATTAATGGCATAAGAAAAATATTTGTTAATGCCGACTAATTGCCAATATACGAAACTATTACTGCAGATCCGCCATTCAGGAAAATATATGATCAAGATTTCTGTTAATAATAAAATTGTGAAAATGACTTCACAACTTGATTGCTAAATGTGCGACACTAAAGAAAATGAAACACTTCATCATATATTATTTAAATGCCCAATTTACAGTAGTTTAAGGTTAAGAATTTACCTGGATATGGAAAATCTTGATGGGATAGAAATATTTAAGTCAACCACTGCAGAAGATGTGAGATAATTATAACTATTTTTTTTCAAATATATCCAATTATAGAGAATTGGTAGGGTAATTTGGAATATTATCCGCTGCATATCATGGCAAAAAATCCATATTGCACATCGGCATGTAATCTGACCGATTTTTTTTTTCTTGGCTGTTCTCTTAGGTATAGGGATGATCTTTTAATTTAATTTTAAAACATAGTTTAATATTAATATTTTATTAAAAATGTATTTATTGTTATTGAAAGCAATATTGCTGACAATTTTAGATTTTATATTAATTTGATAAATGGAACTTTTTTAACTGTCTTATAAATGGATTTAAACTGTCTTTTAAATGGATAAATAGATTTTTACCGAATATGATTTCTAATTTATCCTTAAGAATGTTGTAATATCTGTAATGTAGTATGAAAAGGAATCAATTTGTATTTCACTAACGATAATAATCTTCGTTATTTTGTGACCCCATTTGTGTAGGATTCTTCTAATAACACAAATAAAGATCAAATTAATGACATAACTTTCGAGTTTATAAATGATTTTCATCTAAGCACGAAAAAATTATCATTATGAAATAACCAAATAATCTATAATGTAAACTCAATAATTTTGATTAACCTATTGGGTATATTTCGAAAGATTAGGAATTCTTAATAAGAGTTTAAGAAGTTTAATCAAAAGCAAGACTTGAAATATAGTTCCTGATTATTTTTATATTTGATATATTTCGAAAAATATATCGTTACTGGATAATATTTACTCGTGTCACTGACTGAATTATGGCCAAAATATCGAAAGAAGAACTGTTTACTTAACGTACAAAAAGGTACACACTTTTTTTTCTCAATTACCTTCTACTGAACCATTTCTGGCAAACGAGGAAGGGGTTTGTTCTACAGATACAACCAACCCGAACTTATAACCAGCATTAAGTTTAAGGGAAACTTTCTGCCTGGATATCACAAAACTAAAGCGTTGCATCAAGTAGCTATTTCTTTTCTTCCTTTGAGGTGAAAGAGATGAGTTTCACTTTTCATTCCATCTTCCTCCTCCTCAAAAACATCCGTAACAAGAGTTTGATATTATATGACATTATGATAATATTTTCAATTATGACCTATTTTATTGTATTTTTATTTTACTTGTAAAATAAATATCCGTCTATGACAATTATTGAACTACTTTATTAAACGATAACCACAAAATCTCGGGGTAAGAAATAACATCTAAATAAAATTATTGAAAAAATAATGCATGATAATTTTATCGAAATTGGAAACTTCAAGATTTTCAATAAAAACTTCGGTACAATTCTTATGGAATGCTTTATCATATATGTATATATATATATATATATATATATATATATATATATATATATATATATATATATATAAATAAGTTAGCATAATATAAAATATGTTTTAGTGTTAAGATATATTAACATGTGATCGACTATTGATATTGATTGTTTTGTTTGATAAGGTTAACCTGCAATAAAAAAAGTTATAAAATCTCATTGCTAATATTGATTCAATCTTTCTCATACTAATAATCATAACTTATATATATATATATATAATATATATATATATATATATATATATATATATATATATATATATATATATATATATATTTATAAAATACAATATCCTAGCTATTATTTCTAAAAGGTGTTTTTTTTTTGTCGGTACGTCATAACTTCGTCAATTCTTCATCAAATCCAATGATTAACCACTCATTTTGAAGATATTCTTCACCTTCACATGCGAAAAATAGTCCTATCCCCCGAAATTCCTGGAAAACAAGTTATGAAGGAAAAGAAACTTTATTTGCGAATAACTCAAAACGTATCCATTTTTTTTTTTTTTATTGTACATACGATAATTAGAAAGATTACTAAATTACCTACAAAACAAAACAAAAATCGTAAAAATTGGACAATTATTAACAAAGATACAATCCATTAGTTTTGGTATACTTAATAATGTCTTCCTGTTTAAAGGTATTGCAATTAGGAGTGGAATAGTCTACTACACTTTTTATTAACTTTATTATTTCTTAAAAACTTTTGGTTGTTCTTACATTTTATTTTTTTTAATAATTAAAATATCATGATAGGTTCATTATTTTGTCTTTATTACTTTTATTATCTTTCCAGTCAGCGTTTAAAAATAGGTCCTAGCAAAGCATAATACATAGGAACTACGTATTTCCATTTTGTTTTACTGTTTCTTCACTAAACAAATTTTTTTGCGAATTATTCGCACGGGCCAACTAGTATGTTATAAATATTAGAAGATCTAGGTTATCTAGATTCGTATCAAGAATTCATCCTAATGACAACACGTACGCATGTTTATGATTTTTTCAGGGAGGAATGGAGCAGAGGAGTAAGGGGAGTTTTGATGACTGTAACCAATATCATCATATCATCAACCTACTGTCCCGTAGATGAACCTATTATCAATGTTAAAATAGTTTCTGAAAATAGATCTTGGTATATTAATATTAATTTTTTTATAAAGGATAAATACAATTAAATTTATATCTTGTACAAACAACATTATTATATAGAGTAGAAAATGTACAAAAAAAATATAAAGAAAAGTTCGTTAGAACGCCATGAACAAGGTTTTGCTGGAATAAATAATTTAAAACATCGCCACCGTAAGAGTTCCCTCACGGCGGATTAGGCTCACGTTTAAATGCGTGTGTTTTAATATGATAATATCTGAAGGACCTTCGGCTTGTGAATCCATTGAGGTATGCAAAAAGGTGTAAGGATCTTGACCCATAGGCGGATGTGAACTCGCTCCATTGAAGAAGAAACCCAGGATGAAAATAAGAAGATTCTGTGAGAAAGTTCTTCGGTTCGGCAAAGACCTAGAACTGTCGGACAATGTTGGGAACTGGAAGCACAAAGAGGAGATGCCCTGTCAGGGACAAATACTGACGTAACCCTGCCCCCCGCAGTTCTCCAGCTTCTGCCAATGGTGTTCTTGACAGCTGTGATATAACACACAATGGATGGAGCGTGATAATTTGAAAAAAAAAATTCCATAAGCTGTAATTTAGAAATTCAGTTGAGGAAAGGGTATAAATAACGATTATCGATGACATCGGTACCGGATCTCAGCGGTCTCGAGATGTTTTTATTTTCAATCGTTGGGATTACCTCCAGATAATGCAGTCTGCACCTGGCTGTTATTAATTCTCAAAATTTGTTTTTAGCAAAGAGTAACCCTCCCTCTATGAATGGGAATAAAATCGAAACGACAAAGATTGGAATCACGTGTTTTATGCAAATCAGCTAGCAGTCCCCTGTCAAGATAGTACAAAACCTTGTTCTTTAAAATAGAGTAAAAAGTCAAAATATTAAATTGAATACTTGTTACAAAAAAAAAATCTATATATTGCAATCAAGATAAACAAGAGAAATAAAAGCGAAATGGCTACAAAAATACAAAGATGGGTAGAATTTACTCTAGTACGTGAAGGGTGAAATAAATTGAAAATTATATCCCTATTTATTTGTTTAAAAACTTGAATTATTTATTTTATTCATTTATATGTCATTTTTTTACTTGGAAAAAAAAACTTATAGAATCAGTTGCTTATTAATAGGCACAACTTGATAATTTTTAGTGTAATATTGTCCTGAAAGGCTAATCCTTAACTTTTGTCTTTATTATTCACCATATATCATTGAGAGGAGGATCTATCTTAAATTAGATAAATTATGTCCTACAGCAAAGTAAAAGATATATGGCGGAGTGGCAGGCCGAAGTGTGCCAAATAGTAATTTTAGCAGACTATCATCGCAGCTTTCCATCAACTGATGTAAGATTTAAGATGAAGGGACCGGATAAATCTCAACAGGAGGAAGGAAGCCTTTTGATAAGTATATTTGGAACCTTGTTGAGTATTTTAGAAAATGAAACGTCCTCGTAAGAACTAAAGTTAGTGTTGCTTTACAATGCCTGATGATTAATTGACTTACATATTCCTACAAGAAGAATGATCTTCCTCAAACAAATACAAGATAAAATATAATAATTTAGATACCTAACATGTCATATAAATATGGTTTTTAAAATCTGTCTAACTTGTTTGGATGAGCTTTCTAAAATCTAATCATAGCTGGAAATAGAGGTGTGAATAAACTTCGAAAGTTGGATTTAACTAAAGCTGTTGAAGCGTTCATAATAGACGCTAGCTAATTAAAACTATTTTTTAAATCGTACTTTTATATATTTTTAATATATATATTTTTTAAATTCATCTTTTTATTCGAACCTGTCAATTTTGAAATAATTTTAAATGATATCCTCAATAATTTTATCCTATAGAAAATAAGATTGTTTCATTATGAAATGAGTAGTTATTTAAACGGTGGTTGGTTATTGAACATTTAAATTAATTTTCAACTATAATAATTTTCCATCCTATATACGTTTGCAATTCTCTGACATTTGCCTCTTTTCAATATTTTTTAAAATTATAAATGGATCTTACATCCAGTCGTTGGTAATTTACTCAATATTTTTTTAAATCTATAAATTATAATTATAACTTGGTATAGCATATTTATTTAAACTTTTTATCATAATCCCAATATGGAAAATATGAAATTAATGGTCAGATTTTTATATATTATCATATGATGGGTATTATAATATAGATATTATTATATGATGGGTTATAGATTATTATTATTAATATTTTTATTTTATTTTTTTAAACAATTAGCGTTTTTTTGTAACAGTTAGCGTTTCACAAATCCATAAGCAACATTGAATATCCGATTCGTACAACGTTAAATGCGATTATTCATCACTTGTTATTAATTATCTCCACAATGTTTGTACAAGTTCTAAATATTTATAATTCACTCTATGACAGTATCCATGACATATGACTCAAGATTGGAACACAACAAAGCCGTAAGATATGCTAATTTTACTCTGAATAAAACAAACCTAAACGTAACAGACACACTCCCTGTGATGCCATACTGAATCATACTCCTTATAAATTTCGCTTTATAAGAAGATAATCATCTCTTTTTATAACACATAGAGAAAGACTCTATACGATTTGTGGTCAATAACTCAATCGGTTAGTTTATAGAATTTATAATGTTGAAATGCACTAAAACAAGTAATTTTGATTATCCAACAGTTTACCAAAATAAAATATCCCAGCAAACCCAAAAATATTCATTATATATTTTATTTTTTCTTTCTTTCATTAACAAAATTATTCCTCTTTTCCTCCTTATGCATAGTTGGGTGATTTGGTGCTTTATACAATCTGAACACAATTCCAAGATCCTGAACAAATCCTATTTACTTTATCAATACAGACCTCTCTTTGCGAACCACAACGTCAGAAGGGTTGTGGCCAACAAAGAGGAAAAGAGAATCTAAAATGTCAATCTGGCTAGGATGGTATGCCATCGAGATTTGATCCAGTATTAGTATTTAGGTTCGGTTTTATTTATTTTTATGAAAGTAATATGTTTTTATTTTCGACAAACATTATTTATTTGTCATAAATTCGTTTATTAATGATAATTAAATTCAATAAATTGCAACATTACTCACCTTAATAATTGACTGCAGATAAGGATCTTCCATAAGTGATTTCAGAAAAAGAAGATCAGTTTCTTTTGCTTCCGTTTTCTTTTCCAGTTCAGGCATATTGTCCCGGATGTGTTCGAGTGCCTCTGGAAAAATAATTTAGAGATAATTAATAAAAATCAATTTTAATTAAATTTAATTTGGACTAAATTAAAAAATAATTCTTTAAAACTAAAATATCATTAAATACTAAGAATGTACAGTGTAATTAAACTTTTTATTCATAACTACGCAGTAGTACACAAAAAATTCAACTTTTTGAATATTTTCTGATAACTGATATATCGATAACATAAAAATATTTGAAGTAATAAGAAGGATCTGGACTGTTACATACGCCAACGACGTCAATTTATTATCTCGGCCGAGGAATTAAATTTCTGGAATTGTGTAATAAATTAATTGGGTCATTAATTTTAGAGGTTTATTAGAGTATGAAATAGTAGACTGAAATTAATCAAAATTAAAACATTTAAAGACAGATTAAGTAACTGTTTTGGATCAATAAAGTGGACGGTTTATTGGAAACGATAATTCAATATTATATAATAAAAAAAAATATACTGTCATTGAATTCAACTAAAATTATATCTGAATAAAACACACATTAGTTGACAAGTTATTATTATTTTTTTTAATGCTGATATATGAGAAACATGAGTAATTATAGTGTAAGTATTTGTTTCCTAAATTCTTTTTATTTTCTTATTTTATACATAATTTTTCGAAACATTTATTTTTAATTTTATAAAATCGTTGAAATTGACTCTTGAAAACGAAATAAGAATATTACTTAAAAGATTGCCCATTCCAGCAATATTGCTTTTATTTTTAAAATGATATTGTTATCTAAATTTAATAACAAATCAAATGATCAATAATTTTTGAACATGTAATAGTTAGAAATATATTATAAATCCAGAACCACTTAAATTACGAATAAGTAAAACTCTGTATCATTTTGTTCTGAAGGAAGTGAAGTGTTTCACTTTCCATTTCATCTTTCCTTTCTTCCTTCTTTCTCCTTATGGATAAGCATCGAAGCATGGAACATGTTCCTTATACGTGATGGGCATATATCTTACCACTAAAGGACCTAGGATATAATTTTGAGGAGAGTTCAGCATGAAAGAATTTTTTTTAATATAAATACAACGATAATTACTTTAGAAGAAAAAAAATGAAACTACCAATATTAAATCTTCCTTCTAGACAAAAGACTAACTTTGAATCCACATAGCAGACTTAAAAAACAAGAACTTAACCGACGATTTGGCCAGCTGTGTAGACAATTAAGCAGAACATCTCATTTTTCGACTGGAAATAAACTGTTAATTTACCAGACTATACTGAAACCTATCTGGACCTACGGACTTGAACTGTGATGGACAACTAAATCGTCGAATATCAAACTTATCCAATCCTTCCAGTCCAAAGTCCTTCGAACAATAGTCAATGATCCATATTATGTCACGAACAAGACCCTACACCATGATCTTAAATGCCATTTGTCCTTGACATCATCCGATCCAGATTTTCAAACTTTCAAGAGAACCTTATTCATCATCCAAATTCTCTAGTTCAATCTCTATCCAGCTCTGATCATCCCTACAATCCTCCGCCCCTCCCCCTTCTCCGAAGGTTAAAGGTTAGGTGGCCCCGAGATCTCTTGTAAAAACGCTTCTGGAGTCCTGGCAATGGCCAGTTTCTCTCTTCAAGGCTCTAGTGCTCTCCTTCAGTCTCCACTGGCTTACCAGTGACGCGGCTTGAAAACAGGCACTAGGATCTCCTGGAGTCATACTTTGTTTTTTCACTTTTGGAGGACAAAGCTTGGTTCGGAGTTTCCTGGGCGTAAGTAAGTATTTTACAAAGGAATTAATGTGTTAAGAATATTTACTTGATTTATTATTTCACTTATGTTTGTTATTATATTTTCTATATATTTTTTTCTTGTTTATTTTTCTTCTTCTTATTTTTATTTATTTATCTGTTTAACTATTCTTATTTGTTTCCCTATTATAAAAAAAAAAACTATATTAAATGGTGTTGAAGTGATTTTTGAAGTACTATTAAATGTAATTACACTAAAAAAAATAATTTTAAAGGTAATATTTCAAGATTATTTTCATAAGACATAGTTATATTTCACCAATTTTTGTGAATGGCTTCAGCTCGAAAGTCCCCTCCTTCTCCTTAGATCCGTCTGTGTATTTTACAGTTTGTCATATCTTTCTAAACTTAAATAAGAGTTGTGTAGCATTATAAAGATTTTTTTGATTTTTTATATCCTTTCAATATACTTATTCTTTTCCAGTTGGAGGCATATCAGACAACCACAGTTTATAACATATCTTTTACTTCTTTTCTCGATTAAAGCGTGAACGTTAAGATAACTGTGTACAAATTTAACATGGATTAGTCACGAAATCGGATGTCAAACCTTTTATGTCGGAAGCACCCACGAAAATCCCCATACTTCTACATCATTGCATACATCCCATAACTGACACCAGAGAATGACACAAACCTACAAATCAGGATTTTAGAAAAGAGCCAGGTTTGACAATTGCCTCTCCTAATCTAATAAACGGATTGGACATGAGCTAAAACGCGAGCAATATATTTTGAGCAGACACGGTTGACAGGGGAAGAATCATTGTTGCCAAGAAGGTGACCATAAAGCATAGAATTCATGGAGACGCCTGGGCTTTTGCCAATTATGTGGCGCATTTGAGTTCAATGTCTAGCCGATGAGTGAATGTATTTACAAAAGCGTCATTCATGGCTGGATATTGATGAGTTTGCACTCACTAACATTTATCAAAACTTATTTCTCATTTTCTCTGATTCATGATATCAACAAAAGAGCACAAATGATTTCGTAACGGGTTTAAACAGGTGGCGCTTTCAAAACAGAGCATGTATCAATTCTACATCCTAGGGTATTGCTTGTAGAACTAATATTAAGACAGTGAAATAGATTGTTTTTGTCTATTTCTCTTGGAAATAATAGAAATTTGCACTGGCTCGAAGGTAGTCAGTGGAAGGAAGGATTGCGTTTCAGAACCACTAGAACACTATCGTACAATGTTTAGAGATACCATATGTATATATATATATATATATATATATATATATGTGTGCATAGTTTTTTTTTTCCAAGCGGAACAATGCTATCAACGTTTGGATAAATTTCATCAAATACGAGTTATTTTTCATGTTTCTTCACTGTTTTAAAACTATTGTGCATCTCAACTGCACAGCTCCTCTTAATTAAGTTGGAAGATTGAAATTTTGTAAATATATTAAGATGTGTTGGAGAAGTTCCTTTCGAGGGTATATTCGAGGGTAACTTGGGAAAAGTATTTCTCCTTTTTAAAATTATTTCATCCTTTGAATTAATCCCTTTAGTCTAGCCACCAATTTTATAAAATTCAATTAATTCTAATAAACAAAATTAAAGGAAGACATTTCCCCGCCGTTAAGGCTATACGGGTGTTTCCCGGGCCAGGGAGTGTGGGCGGGGATTTAAAAGACACCTTGGCACCGGGACGCGAACTCGTGACTATTTTTATAACACAATTGTCATATATCAGGTTGCCGGGCAACGGTGGTGCTGTGCACAACGCGTTAGCCCATTCGGCTACCCCGCCCTGCCAGGTTAGACTATTTCAATGAGGATAATACTATTTTTTTTTTTTGGTCCTCCCCTTTCTCGGCGTTTAGGCTATACGGGATTTTCCCGGGCCAGGAGGTGTGGGCGGGGATTTAAAAGACTCCCTTGGCACCGGGACGCGAACTCATGAATAATTTTTATATCATTGAGTCATATATCAGATTGCCAGGCAACAGCGGTGCAGTGCACATGCGTTAGCCCATTCGGCCACCCCGCCCATGAGGATAAGACCTTTGATTTTAAAGATCATTTAATTTCACATTAATAGAGAGAGTGTCACTAAAACATATAAATTTCTAGCTATCTAATTAATTTTTCTATCTTGCTAGGAAACGTCAATTAGATGGCTTAGCTAAGACCTAGAAGTAGGTATATAGCAAGTATTTTATAACCACCTCCTATGTTTCTGTTACTAAAATTTGAGTTTATATTCAAAGATAATTATTTATGTAGCAAGAAATCCTAGGATTTTATGATTCATTCATTGGTATCCTTCCATTTTTAAGTGAAGAATTTATCACATTTCCCGTGGCAAATCTGAAAAATCAGAGAATTGAGAGTTCGTTTTATGTGATACAGTCAGTTTATTTGTATAAATCCAAATATACGATCAAGCACAAACAAAATACAACAAAAACCTAATATATAAACATATACATATTTTGTATATATAGCACTAGCGGATTCAGGATTTAATTTTGGGGGAAGGGCTTCAGCCCGAAAGCTTTTTTTTCATAAAAATGACGATAATTACTTTGGAAAAAAAGAAAGAAACTAACTATCTATATGAAATGGTGTTTAAGTGATTCCTTAAGTACTTTTAAATGTAATTACACGAACAATAATACTTTAAGAGATAATCTTTTAATATTTTTTTCCATAAAACATGGTTATATTTTACCATTTTGGGGGGGAGGGGCTTGAGCCCGAAAGCCTCCTCCCCGTAGATCCGCCCATGTTATATAGTATTACAGGGGAGCGGGGTAGCTCAGTGGGTGAGCAATGACTTCCAGAGATGAAGGTTCAAATCCGGCTGATGAAGTAATTTTTTATCAGCCGTGGATCGACCTCGGGGCCGGGAGACCCTCCTGTGGCAAACCCAGGCTCTATAAAGTGTGTACTCTCAATTAAATAATTAATTAAGGGCGAAAAACTGGCTATTGAGCGTGATATTGGCCCGTCACCTCTCTGCACAACCCTTGCCCTTTAACAGTACTTCCTCACATTGTACTGAACCCAAGACCCTTCATGAGTTGTTAGTGTTTTTTTTTTTTTTAATTTTATTATATTGTTAATTTTACAAGAATAGTATTGATTATGTTAATCATTCATAATTTTTATACATAATATAAACTCCTAAAACTTTTTATGAAGGGTCTATCGCCTCCTAACCAGAATGGAAAGTTTGCACCTATGGTAAGAGCTACAAACCTACACCTTTCACTGGCTGAGAATTGACAACAGACTGAAACCTATTAGAAATCATCAAGCTTGGAAATTGGTTGCTGAACGGAATAACTATGTGTAATTTGTCAAAACGCTGTGCCGAAAGCAAAGTGGAAAATTGTTTTCATCGGAAATTTATGGTGTAATTTTACGGTTGCGTACCTGGCAATTTTAAGGGTCACCAGGTAAAGTGGGCGTTGTGACCACTTAATGAAAACATATGAGGGGTGTTAAAATAAAGGTGTTTAATAAGGGCATCACTACAAGGTCACGCCCATACAATTTTTCATTCACGAGATTTTGTTTATTCGACGGAATGTACAAAATGATGATTATGATAGTGAACAATATGTTTTTTACTTTCTCTTACCTAAATACGTAGTATATAGTATACGTAGTATGGAAGCGATCGGGAAAATTTTCGAATCTGAACTTTCAACGGAAATACACAGATAGGTTCCCTTAGTCCTAAGAAGCAAGTCCCACAAAATGGTGTGTTTGCGCGCGCGTGTGCCTGTGTGGGTATGTGAACAGTCTAGCTAAAAAATGAAAATTCGTACGAAACTGAAAATATATTTATTTAAGTAAAACTAAGATTATTTAACGAAAATCACATATTTCCAAGGAAATTAAATAATATTAAACTAATTAAATAAAACTAAATTTAAACTTTTAAAATTATTTTTAAGTTTGAAAAGTATATAAATTCACCGAATCAAGACAATGACATTGGTTAAAAAACTATTTAATTGCATTTGAAAGAAGAAAAAATGAAATATAAAAGTATGGATGTTTAAAACATCTTCTTCTAATCTTAAATACATTTACTGTAGTTTAATAACTCTAGATTCGATATTATATTTAAATAAATCGGGTATCTATAGTCGACCTCAGCTATGCACGGAGCATCCTTTAGCAAAAGTGCAATACCAAATTACCCAAAAACTAGAACGTAACGCTGCCACTGCGATGATCTCAATTGACTGCTCAAAAGCTTTCGATTCCGTTTCGCAATCCATACTAATTGAAAAGCTGAAATGTTTGCAATGCCCCGAACAGTTGTACTCTATTTTGAAATCGTTCCTCAATGGCCGAAGTCTGACTGTAAATGTTGGTGATAATTACTCACATACGATACCTTTGAAATGTGGAGTACCTCAAGGTGCAGTCCTTTCACCAACTTTGTTCCAAATATATACTGCTGATATAATTGCCAAAAATTATACGAAGGCATCTGTAATGGCATATGAAGACGACATTGCTATATACAGTAGCATGAACGCTTCAAAAGCATTAAAACAAGCGGAAGAAACCTGCAATGTCATCCAAAATGAACTTAAATTGTTAAATATCCAAATAAATTCTACAAAAACCGATTGTATAATATTTTCTTTTCAAAAAAATAAGAAAAAATTTCGAGTTGGTGATTCATACAACAAAATATCAAATAATATGGTCTATCTAGGAATGAAATTTGACAGACATCTAAAATTTACCGCTGATTGCACTTCAAAACTATCAAAAGTTAGAAAAAAAATCTACAAATTCAGTCACCTTCTCACAACCTCAAACCTCAGTCTCAGATTAAAATTAATCATCTACAAAAGCATTCTTCGCCCTTCCCTTCTCTATGGTGCTCCTCTATTGTCCCACATTTCCGAAAACACAAGCAAGAGACTTCAACGATTCCAAAATGGAATTCTTATGAGAATAGCTAAAAGTAGCCGCCATCTCCTAGGCGATGGCAAAATATAGCTGTAAGTTAGATTATAAGATAGTCCTAAGAAAATTATCAAGATAGAGGTGAGCCCCATCACCCAGATTGAAAGTCCAGAAATAAATATAAACAAAACTAAGAAAGGCTCAGCAAGACCTTCAAATGTATCTAAGATACAGTACAAGGAATATGTTAACCATGTGAAAGAAAAAAACCTTTATGAAACTGGGGATAAGAACAAAAAAAAAAAAAGTAGTCGGTTTATCCCGAAACATCATGCAATATTTCAGAAAATTAAATTAATGAATAATTTTATGAATTTTTTCATTGTGAAACCGTAACGTTATCCATTAACAATTGACTGTGACAACTTTCGACCTACCGATGGTAGGCAATGAAAATCTCGTAACTTCATTTTAGTAAACTAAGATTTTAAGAACCAATACCAGCACTAGTTGATCCATTATTTAATTTTGGGGGGGTTTCAGCTCGAAAACTTGTTTTTCATAAAAATAAAGATAATTACTTTGGAAAAAAGAAAGAACTAACTACCGGTATGAAATGGTGTTTAAGTTATTCCTAAAGCCCTTTTAAATGTAATTACACGAACAATAATAGTTTAAGAGATAATTTTTTTCGATAAACATGGTTATATTTTGTCATTTTGGGGAGGGGGGCTTCAGCCCGAAAGTACTCCCCTCTCCTCCCGTAAATCCACCCGTGAATACTAGTACAATCCATAATAATTTATAGGTTAAACGTATTTCTTCTTCAAATCTTTTTAGGTAACAGCTTATAGCTCAGATATATATAGCTCTGAGACTGGCGTTATGTGGTTTACAATAT